TATCTTGTAATAACCTGTAATGGAAAGGAATATATGTGTGTGTATTTATACAAATAACTGAATCACTTTGCTATATACCAGAAACTAACACAACATTGTAAATCAACTATACTTCAAATAGATAAATAAATAAATGAATAAATGCAAGACAATACAATACATTAAAAGGATCATACACTATGATCAAGTGGGATTTTCCCCCGGGATGCAAGGATGGCTTAATATCCACAAATAAATCAGTGTGATACACCACATTAACAAACTGAAGAATAAAAGTCTTATGATTATCTCAGTAAATGCTGAAAAAGCTTTTGACAAAATTCAGCATCCATTTATGATAAAAACTCTTAATAAAGTGGGTGTAGAGGGAACATACCTCAACATGTATGACAAACCTACAGTCAGTATCTTACATAATGGTAAAAAAATGAGCATTTCCTCTAAAATCAGAAAGAAGACAAGGATGCCCAATCTCACTACTTTTATTCAACACAGACTTGGAAGCCCTAGCCACAGCAATCAGATCAGAAAAAGAAATGAAAGGATTCCAAGCTGGAAAGGAAGAAGTAAAACTGTTTGTAGACGACATGACTGTATAAAGAATCCTAAAGACTGGCACCAAAAACTGTTAGAACTAGTACATGAATTGGTAAAGTTGCAGGATACAAAGTTAATATACAGAAATCTGTTGAGTTTCTATACACTAATAACAAACAATCAGAAAGAGAAGGTAAGATAATGGTCCCGTTTCCAATTGCACCAAAAAGAATAAAATACCTAGGAATAAATCTAGACAAGGAGGTAAAAGACTTGTACTCAGAAGACTTTACGACACTGATGAAAAAAATTAAAGACAACACAAACAAATGGAAAGATACCATGTGCACGAGCTGGAAGAATTAATACTGTTAAAATGGCCATACTCCCTAAGGCAATCTACAGATTCGGTGCAATCCTTATCAAAATACCAATGGCATTTTTCACAGAACTGGGACAAATAATTCTAAAATTTGTATGGAAACATAAAAGACCCTAAATAGCCAAAACAACCTTGAGAAAGAAGAACAAAGCTGGAAATACCATACTCCCTGGCTTCAAACTATACGACAAATCCACAGTAATTGAAATGGTGTGGTCCTGGCACAAAAACAGCCTCATAGATCAATGGAACAGAATAGAGAGCCCAGAAATAAACCCAGGCACTTACGGTCAATTAATCTGTGACAGAGGGAGGCAAGATTGTACAGTGGGTAAAAAGGAAAGTCTGTATAAGGAACAGAAGCCAGAGGAGGGAAGGGGTGGGCCGGGTCACCCCGCAGAGGCAGCAGTGGCCAAGCAGGGACTTTGAACACACGTGAGAAGTGGAAGGTTGTAGAAGATCATGTGGAATACTTGCAAAGACAGATAGATATGAAATGGCAGCATAATCAGGGATGTATGAGAAATATGATGCAACAAGGGGTTCCTTTTTGCAGGACGCAGAAAGAGCAGTCTTTGCTAGCAAACCTTCAGTCTCTGAACAGCAGTGAATTCCCATCTCAGTGTTCATTTTCTGGCAAAGAATACAGCCAGATGGACATTTTTGAAAGGAGAATGATCACAAATCCTCCACACATTCGGACTGAGCTACCAAGAAAGGCCTTTATACAAACAATTTTTTTCTAAACTGTTTCTACCAGCCTCAAGAGTGCTCCAAATCAACTGAAAACTGCAAGGGGGATGGACAACTCGGCAGTGATGATGGATACCCAGAGGCATCTGAGTCAAACATTCAGGGAGTAACTTTGGAGTCAGTTCAGTGGCCAAGGTTTCCAGGATGGGGGTGTTTTCATTTTCAACTCAGGTCATGGGTATTGCAGCGAAATGCTCTGTGCAACTCAGTTCCTGCTCTTAGGCATATCAGTGAGGCAAGACACAGTTGAAGCATGAACACAAGACAGTACCATCAGGAGTGCAGATCATAGATTGTAGAAGGTGACAAGGAGGAGACGGCAGTGTGGACTTGAGTGGTGTGGAAGTGTGAGTGGGGCTACATTCCCATGATAGATGAACATAGAACTGGGAGGATGAGGCAGCCAGGTGAACACATGGAAGTATGAACCCACGTGGTGTGCTCAGAGTGGGAAAGAGACCCGCTGTGGAGCGGCCCACCCACAGGTGGGGATGAGGGTTGCTGAGAGGGGCGGAGGCGGGCTGTGCAGGGCCTCTGTGCACAGGACGGCCTGGCTTTCCTCCTCTAGGCAGCAGGAAGCCTCTGGACAGAGAACAGTGTGACAAAACAATCTAGTGGTGGTATTTAAGATCAGCTAAAGGGTGAAGAGACAGGAAGTATGAGGCCAATTAGTAAACATGATAAGTGGTTCTATTTCCTCATATAAACAAAACTTTTTTTTTTAGGGCTTGATAGCTCATTTCTTTCTTTTTCTCCAAAACTCTTTAATCTCCAAAGCTAAAACTGTTCCAGCATGTTTATCTTGTACATAGTTGAGGTTTTGGAATGTAATAGAAGTTTTTCAGAGAAAGATAGATATTAGAGGTACACTAATGGTCATTATGTGATCTCACAAGAGAGAGAAACATAACACACAACACAAATGAATGATACTAAGCATTACTTTACAGTTATTCTCTGGTTTATGTGTAAGAAACATACATGGTATGTATGCTCAGACTGTGGCGGTGCGAGAGGGAGCAAGCCAGGAGGCCACTTCACCCTGGACCACAGTCAACCCTCCGGGAATATGGAAATTTTTTCAGGAAGGCGAAGTGCATGTGGAGAAGCAGTTGTAGTAATGTGTGAGAGCACCTTCCAAGTAAGGACTTGGCACGCATCATTTTGATAACACAACCAGAAGTACCATCTCACGTGTGGTACATATTCTGCCCAACACCTGTTCTAAACTAAGTGATTCCTTTGGTCTGTTTCACCTAGCAGTTAGAAATCCAGCTCTCTGATATCTTACCATATGACAAAAGCCCTTCACAATTTATGTTTATTGATGTTTTTCATGTGTATTGTGAAATCCATCTGGAAATAGAGTATTTCCATAACTCTATAATCCTCAGAGTTGGCAATTCTCATTATTGTTTTTTTCCCATCGCCAGAAGTGGTATGTTGCTATGAAGTTTTTGGAAGAATGAAAGGAAATAATTTAATTGTTTTCCTTTCAAGGTTAGAGTTATCAACATCCATATAAATATATTTCAAATCAAATAAGCAAATAATGTTGAGCACTATACCTCAAGAGCTACACTAGTTTTAGGAAGATAAAAAGAAAAATTAGGCAGTCTTTGTCTTAAAGAAGCATATAATCTAACCAAGGACATTAGCTAAAATTCATAAAAAGTTAAATATAATACTGTCTCTTTTATACAGAGTTTATAATATGACAACTTCAGTTATCCAGCTCAGTCCAGAAACAGTCATAAGAAGAGTCAGTTCCAGTTGTATCAAATGTGCAGAATGTGGGACACCCTCACTGAAGCCCATCGGTGGGAAAGCCAGGCTGTCATGGCAACCAAACACCCACGCACATCATTTGCCCTGCTCTGTGGGATTCACGTACCTCACTGACACACAAGCACCAGAACTGCCAGGGCAACTGTCAAGAACAAGACTGTCAACGCCAAAGTGACTGCCATAGACGTCGTGTGCTCAAGTTTATGCACTGTGATTGCAGGACAGCCCCTCAGCCTCGCATGGGCTGCGCATTTACTTCTCTTTATACATGAGTCTCGTGTGCCAACACAGGACAAATTAAGACAGCAAAACGTGTGCAGGCAGTGGGAGTTGTGGGTTGGGCGCATTGAGCATCTGAGGTATGTTCATGGTGCTGTGTTACCACCACCAGCAACCGCCAAAAACACCGGTACAGACACAGCCCTGGAACACATGGCTGTATGGGGGATGTTAGTGTCACTCTTAGGATATTATGGGTTTGTAATTCAGTTATTATATTCGGAATGATGAAACCCTGAAATCGCTGAAAATTTACAGAATACTTATTAAAGACAATGGGCAGTTTAATGTACATTTTAAAAAGTTTTCACCAGCCAGTACTAAAATAAGTTTTATCAACTTAAATAGTAACGTGACCTGAAAAATTTTACTGGCTATTTATTTAGCAATAATTCAAGTAAAATTTCCACACAACTATAAAAGAAAGATTATAAAGACACATATCATAAAGCCAAGTGTTAAATACCTGATAAACTTCCTTCATCGATAACCTGAAGTTTGTTCTCATTGATTTTAAGTTCTTCTAATGTAGGTGGTAGCTCTGATGGAATTGCAACCAAGTTGTTCCCATCCATACTCAGGCGCATTAAATTCTTTAGATGCTTAAAAGGCAAATCTCAAAATTACGTTTTTTACCTTGTCACAGATATACAGTCACATGTCTCACTTAACAATCAGTTTGCAGTACCAAAGTCTCACAAAGAACCTGCACTTACTCAGGATTGGAAAGAATCTCCATATTCTTCCTGCTAGGTAGATGTTGGTCCTATTAATAGCATTTATTCCCTGGTATTCCCAGTAACCTACATTTGATGATTTTGCATCCTGCTCACCCATATTTTTATTGCGGTTTTAGTAAGCAAGAGAAAGGTCCTATCACCACTGGATGGTCATACTTTCCTAGACTTCAGGTTTTCACTTCTCAGCAGCAGACATAAAGTAAATTAAATCATACAGCCATCTCCTAGTAATAGATGCTAACGAGACGGCAATTTGAATCCTTTCCATGTAGTTGTGAACTTGTGTTTTCTATCTATACTAAGTAGAAATAGAGCCATAAAATAGCACCAATTGTTGTAATTCTTCAAATCTAAATGCTGTGAATATCACAGACTATTTCTATATGGTACCCAAATAGTTTTGACTGTCTGGAGAGTGCATTTCCACATTTGTGGCAACATGCTTGTTGGCCAGACTAGCCTGCACTGCCGACGTTGCCGAATGATTTACTTCAGTGGTGCTCAGTCAGTTTCAGCAGTTTGGAAATGGGATAGAGAATCCCAAAACAAGAAAAGGAGGTTATTTCCTGCAGTGTCCCCATTTTGTTTTATCAAATACAAGAAATGCACAAGTCCCAGCCGCTGTTTTATCTAGCATGGGGCAAGACTCCAGTCTTTGACACGAACGTGGACACCAGGTGTCTGGAGCTCTCTCATCTATAGCCCAGAATCTAAATGAGAACCGGGAACTCAGCTTGTAAGAGGCCAGTGATTTGTCCAAAGAGTGGGCAGAGGACCATCCAAGGGGTTGAAGTTTGACCTCCTGGAATGGAGTGTATTTCACTTGGGCTTCTTTAAGCGTACACATTTATGAGTATTTGTTTACATACACAAACCCCTCCTTTCTTACTTCTGCCTTTGTTTCTCTGAAAGTCCTTGATACCTTCTTTTCTCCCTCTGAGAAGAAAATTTTAGTTACGTATGAGTCTTTCAAAGGTTTATTCTATGCTGTTTCCTGTCTTCCCCCTTTCCCCAACCTATCCCCATGTTAATTTTCATCTGATCCCATTTGTTTTTCCCAAACCCTCTCCTGATGATACATATTTTATCAGATTTTGCAGGTAGCACAAAATAAGGAAGCTCTGTCTTGCTGGCCTGAAAATGTTAATAGAATTTCCAGATAAACTTCCCTTTTTTCCCAGAAATACCTCATGTAGTAAGAGACTGTATTTCAACATGTTTTCAGCTACTTGAGGAGAAGCTCCCCTATAAATTCAAAACATTAGTTTTGTCATTGATGCTGTGTGAGTGCTCTTAGGGCAAAGCATGGAAGAAAACAGCTAGAAACCTGTAAAACAACAGACTATATTCAAGAGAAAACTCGAATCCAGTTTGGGGACAACAGAGAGGAAACTTACTTAGGCGAAAACTCCAGTAAAACATTTTACTTTTCCTTCCCCTTCCATCTCCACCCACGGCCAGTGCAAGTGATGGGAGAGCCATCCAAATGGACCATTAGAAATCAGAGTGTGTATTTACCTTGAATGCTTTTGGACCTATACCTGAAGAGGTGATATTATTTCTGCTCAGATCAAGCCTTTCCAAATTCGGTAATCCATTAAATGCTTCATCCGGAATCGAGGTGATAGAGTTACCTAGGACACGAAGCAATTGTGTGTTAGGACTATGGTGCCTATAAGTACATGTATACATGCACATGCATAGACAGCAAAAGAGAGCTTTATGTGGAGGGAAAGGCAATACTTACAGCAAGGACAACATACATAAGAAAATGAGTATTTAGAAGAAAAACAAGACTGGAACTAGACTATTTCATACGGTCAAAAGTTTCACTCTAAGGACCTGTCATGTTCTAATACATCATATTTTAGATGAAGCTGCTTAAAAGAGCCAAAATGTGGCTTGCTAGAAAATTTTGATAGCATTATGCATTTCACAACAAAGTTGTGCTTATGGAAGGTGATACAGAAACTGATTTTTATAGTTCTTCATATTTTCCGTTGGCACTTCCTGGGCCCTGGACCAGAATTATGCTGTTTTGATCAGTGAAATCCTGGGCATGTCACTTACCTTCTCTGAGCCTCAGTGTTCTCAAAATAAGAAGCTTCGGGAGATTATCTCTCAGATCGCCTCCAGACTGATGTTATAATTCTGTGACTTCAATCTATAAAAGTTCCTGAATGCCTTAAATTTACAGGGATTTTAGCTTGACATTTAGTTAAGTACAGTAGTTGATTGTTTTAAACCTAGAAAATGAGCTTACTGGAAATGGTGAGTACTATTAAAAACCGCATGGTGCCCTTCTTAAAAAAACCTAAATTCTGTGACTGAGCACAAGTCATTCATCTTTTGTAAAACTTCAGACTTTAACAAATTGGGTCTTTCTAAGGCAGAGCACACCTGGCATGAAGGCCATAGGAAGAGGGGGCGTCACTGGAGCAGTAGGCTCTGGGCATGAGAGGAATTCCTTAGAAAGTCATGTGAACATGATGTCAGGAAGGCCAATACACCAGAAGTGTCCTATTGCAGACTGGCCACCCTGAACACAGGTGTCAGGCTGGGTCTATGAGAATTTATTCATATGATTATTTATTATTTCTGTGACTTGCCCCGAGACACATCTGAAGCCCCCAACTCAGACTCTCTCACCCCTGAATTTTGCTGTATCACTCAGCAGTCCCACTCTTGGGACTTAGGAAAGAAAACTTGGGTCCACATAAACATCTGTATGTGGATATTTACAGCATCTGTGTACATAATTGCCCCCAACTGGAAATAACCCAGATGTCCTTCAGCTGCAACCAATGCAGACGTCCACCCCAGCAATGGAAAAATGACTCAGAATTACTGATAAACACCACAGCTCAGCAAGCTGCTGATAAACGCAACACCCTGGATAGCCCTCAGAAGCATTATGATAAGGGAAAGAAGCCCAACTGAAAAGGCTATATTGTGTATGATCCCATGTCTGTGACATACTGGAAAAGGTACTGTTGAGACAGAAAATATCAGGGCTGGTGGAAGGAGGGACATGAGGGAATTTGGGGAGGTGTTGGAAATGTTATATCTTGATTATGATACTGATTACATGACTCTGTGTATTTGTCAAAACTCAAAGAATAACATGCTAATAATAAGTTTTACTGTATATGAATTTTACCTCATACCGCTGACTTCAGAAAAAAGCCAGTGGGAAATCGCGATTTCATTTGGAGAAATTTGTTTTATCGTGCTATTCTGCAGCGAACTTATCTCTTTTGCAAAGTTTATGGGTTTGAAGATTGTGAAATTAGTCTTTTTAAGAGTCAAGTTATATTATAAAATTAAAATATAACATTCATAGGGCAATGAGAGTTAAGCACAAAATAAAACAGAAATCAACATCTCTTACCAACAAGCTCCAGGCTTGTTATCTCTGGTGCTGTTAGCGGTGGTACCTGTGTGAGGGCGACGTGGTTACAGGTGATGGTTTTGTAGGACAGAGAGCATCTGCTTGGCAGAGGCGGTGAGCCTCTGGGAGGAGCTGGGATTGGGAGTCGAGAGGGCGTCCTGAACACATCTCCTCTGACGGTGTCATAGTCGTCCTCGTCCTCGTCCTCGTTCTCCTCGTCCTCCTCATCCTCCTCGTCCTCCTCGTCCTCCCCCTCCTCCCGTGCTGGGTTTCTGTGCTGATGGGCCTGCCTCCCCTCCTCTCCAGGTCTCTGCTCACCCCTGTCTCTGCTCTGCCCCTCCGTGGGAGGCCTCCCCCAGTCTTCAGGTCGAGGGGTCTTTTTCTTTTGCTCCCTATCTTCATCTTGTTTAATTTCTTCTTCATCCTCCTCAGTTTGAAGCTCCTCTTTTCTCAGTGCTTGATCCATTTCCACCCAAGGAGGTGGCTGTTGCTTATGAAGGAAACTGGTAGGTTCGCTTTGTTCTGAAGAATCACCAGAAAATTCAGTTCTGTCATTTAATGCTACACCACTGAGGAGCAAATAGGAGGCTACTGACCATGTAAGGAGAAGACAGCAGGGGCAAGTTGTGGTATTAATGAAAGGAAAAAATCATAGTGAAAATGAAGTTAGTAAATATTATTCCCTCCAGGTACATCAGTGCAGTTCATTTTATTTTATTTTATTTTTTTACTTTTTAATTTTTATTCTTGGAGGGAGTGGGCAATTAAGGTTTATTTATTTTTATTTATTTTTTTAATTGAGGTGCTGGGGATTGAACCCAGGACCTTGTGCAAGCTAAGCCCACACATAGGAGTGCAGTTTAAACACTAAATGCATCTTGAAAATTTTGCGTGAATAGTTTTAATAGAAATAAATAAACTTTATTTCTGTTGCGTAAGATGTTATAGACAATTCTTGTTTTTCCTGTGAGCCTTAATATTTATTTTTACTGAAGTATCATGCTACCTGGTAACTAAAGAAGGGAATAATATTGTCATGTTGCAAAATGGCAAGCAGCCCTATTGTGAGATTGCAGTATAATCAGGTGTGTTATCTTTATAATACATACTGTCCAGTTAATTGGGGTTATTGATAACATAAGAATTTGTACACTGTCAGACATTTAAAAAAAAAGTGAAACCGGTATATATTTTACTTGTTTATGGTAGTGAAATCATCTTTTGTTCTGTATTTATTATATTTGTCCAATTTTCTTTCAGCTCCATGAGCCTAAAAGCATCCTCTGAAATTCAGAATTGTAGTAAATTCTCCTCTTTTTCCCTCCCAGACTATGTATTTAAATCATTTTTGACTGCTTGAGATCTATGGAAGACGTCCTGGACTTAAATGGTGTTGTTTTAGCTTTGATATAGGCACGAGAGTATTACTATTATTCCATGATGATGAGAGGATCATACATAATAGTAGAAAGTTTATCTACATTTGTGTTGAGCCGATATTATCTTTGGCAGAAAGTGGGGAAGCCTTGACAAAGACCAGACTTCGGACTCACCCTCCGAATGAAAAGTTTCAGGGAGAAGTGAGCTCAGTACATAGATTTTCTTTTATCAAAATGTAAAAATTTACTTAATCATCTCCATACCCTTATTTCATGCCATATGTAAATCACCCCAGAAAAGAACTCAAAATATAACTACTTGAAGGAATTACTTGAGATTTCAGTTCAGTATATATTATAAAGTCAGTGAGTTATTTTTTTTCGCATCTCTGATGGAACATGCAGAAGGAGAATAGGGGAAAAAATTAGCAAAAGGAAACTAAAGCTATCATATTGAAACGTTTAAAATCTTTCCTGTATATCCAAGTTCATTTTTCCAAAATAACCACAGCGTTTCAAAATAATAGTTCAAGTCCATTGGAAAATATCTGAGAGTTTCTGGATCTTGCTTTTGTAAACCTTGTGTTTCATCTCCCAAGAAATCAGTATCATTAAACATTTCTATTTTCTAACATTTTTAGAATTCATAATATCTTAGTAAAATAATCGGTAGTACACACCAAAATATAATCCCCAAATATTCTAAAGATCTTCCTGGCAGGAGCCTTTTGTGGATAATTACCCTGTGATCATTCTGTGTGCTTGAAAACAGTCTACCTTGGTCATAAACAACAGAAGCATCTCTATCCCTTTTTGTAAAATTATTTAACATATATTTATTTGTTCATTTCATAAAGTATTGGCCAGGCTTTTCTTGGAGGAGTCCTGAGCCTCCCTCTTGAGGGTCCATCAGGTTATGAGCCTTAAAGGATAAGAGATGGTGAGCAGCCCAATAAAGCCTTGTGGTGTGATCTTTCGGGCACAGCAGTGCCATAAAAGAAAGCCACTGCTCCAGGGCCATGTTCCTTTAGAACTACCTGAGCAGTGATGCCTGCTCATAGACTGGGAGAATTGGGCTTTACTCTCTCTAGATGCAAACCCCTCCTCCCTTTGTTAACCATGGGTTCTTCATCTTCATTTGGGTTGATGAGCTTCACGTGGAGTTGAATTAAGTGAGCTAATGCCTGTGAGGGACTAAGCAGTGCTCTTCACGCATACTAAGGACGTGGGAGCTGTTGGCTGTGGAAATTCTGTCACTGCATCTCTAAAGTTGAAGAGTCAAGCCTGGCATGTGATCTCGTCCAAGTTTACTCATTCTAATAGAGAGAGAACTCTAAAGCCAAGATCTTTTATGTCTCTCTCTTACTGTACGCTTTCCCAAAGAATTTCCATGTTTATTGTTGTGCCAATATTTTAAATACCCTGATGGCTAGTTTACTGTAATTTAAAACCTAAGTTAATGACAAAGTAAAACAGATGAGAGTCAAAGACCAAGTCATGCGATATTTTGTTTAGGCTAAATATTTATACCAGTATCTGAGCAGACCGGGCAGCATTCTCCTTCAGGTATAACTGTTTGGGGGCACGTCTGAGGGTGGCACTTGGTTTCATCACAAAGGACCCTTCCATTCGAGCAGAGGCAGGTGGTGCAGGGCTCGGGAGACCATACAGCTCTGTTATACATGGTCATCCCATTTACCAAACAGCGTCCTTTCTTTCCTAGGAGAGAACAGCAACACATTTAAATTCCTGTCTGGTTACTAGCACCTGTGAATGGAAGTGAGCCCAGTGTGCAGCCCAGTGTGACAGACCCATGCAAAAATAACATTCTGTGTTCATTCCTGCACAGGGTAAACGTATCTCACAGGTGTGACCCTCTGAAATGCTTTTCACATGCTCTACTCTCAACCCGTCTGACTTAGAGTAACTTCCTCATGGTAACTGGACTCTGTGAATTGCGTCTGTCAGGATGGCTAAGTTACACAGTAGCATCAAACAGCCCCCAAATCTCAGTTATTTCTTGTTCATGCTGTGTGTCTAATGTGAGTCGACAGGAGCTCTGTTCCTTCTAGTTAGGACAAACAGTAGGCTTCATCTCCAAGCAGGCTGTCCCGATGGCCACAGCAGTGGGAATGTGACATAGCAAATCACACACAAGCTCTAAAAGTGTCTAATTATGTTGACCAAAGCAAATTACATGGCCACATCTAACTTCAGAAGAGACAAAGCAGTGTAGTTCCATCAGGTGCCAAACAGCAGAGGTCTGGAACAGCACTAATGATGAGCAGGCCCACATTGTACCCTTCCCAGTGTGCAGAGGGAGAAAGTGAAAGCAGACAGTATTCTTGTGGTGCCTCTGACACTGAATTCTCAATGAGACATTGCAATTATCTCTTTTTTTAGAATTGTTGTTATTATTGAAATATAATTCAAAAGCCATAATACTCACCCTTTTAAAGTACACAGTGCAGTGGGTTTTATGATATTGTTTCCTCTACATACAGGATTGTAGATACCTGGATAAGTGTGTTGACTAAGCAGGCCATTAGACAGCCAGTTTGAATATTAAAGGGAATGTTTTCCTTCCAGCCCTAGTGTTATACCTGATAACTCTTCTCCATCTGATGAGCAGCTGTCCTGAAATTCCACCTGGAAGTCAGCTCTCACATCTGTCCCCTTCTTTCCCTCACCACTATGCCAGCCCAGTTCAGCTCCTTCCCATCTCTTGCAATAGACTAATCCCATCCATCCAATTCCTCCCCTGGAGAAAAACAGATACGTGAGTTTTCTCCTGATTATCAAAGTACTATCCTATACCAAAATTCCAACAGCCTTTTTGCAGAAATGGAAAGGTTAACCTTCAAATTCATATGGAACTACAAGGGACCCCAAATAGCCAAAAAAAAATCTTTTAAAAAAAATTTGAGACCTCACACTTCAGCATTTCAAAACTTACTACAAAGCTTCAATAATCAACTTATGCCAGGATTGTACTGGCAAAAGGCTAAACATATAGACGATGGAATATTGAGAGTCCAGAAATAAACCCATGCATCTATGGCCAGTTGATTTTCATACAT